TATGGCGATATATATGGACGATGTGACGTTGGACTTGCTTCCTGTGCTATCAGTGTGATCGTTATCGTTAGATGTCAGACGATCAACTGCTAAAGAGAAATCTGAGGTTATAAAAATGGAAATAGGAACCTGCCTCATGAACTTTTATTTGTAGGGGTGAAATTTCACGCATCGTGTAAGAATCAGATTTCGCCTAATTTGACTAGAGCATATCTGCTATGATCACAATAAACTGGAAATCAGATGAACAGTAAGGAGTTTTTGCATCCTAAATCATGAGATATTTACAATTATAGCTACAGTTCTGATAAGTGATTACTTAGATCTGGAAGTTGATCAATCTTTCCTGGCAGCATCCTTAAAGAGTATGCCATCAAGTTTAAAGTATTCTTCTAACACTAAGAAAGAAAGGAAGTGTTGCATTGCTGGGTATGTTAATTATTAAAGCTACAAACTGCTGAAAAGTTCTGTACACTCAACATGCATACATACTGAAACCTACAAAGCTTAAAAGAACCTGAAACTGTATCATTTATGTAGATAAGAAGCTTTTGTACTTGGGATTACGTCAGAAAATTGAGGATGAATCCTGTATAATTCACCTCAGAACTGTACGTATCCAGGTCAAATGCAGTTGCATTCACTGTGTACTTGCAACGGCATAAAGGGTACGGAGGAGGATTGATATTTTCTCATAGTGTGCTGCTGTTTCGCCTTCAGTCTGAGCACGTGAACCTGTATAGGATATCTCCACACTGCACCTATCAACTTAAGTGAATTCACATGATGTCGTTCTCGACCATCTCCAACAACACACTTTAATGAGGTCTTTGCACATTGCTTGACTTTTGAGGTGTGCCCATCCCCATCGTAATGCTACCTTGCAGACCGTTCCAAAGAGTAGGTCACGCAACCGTTGTCACGCAAACTGCGGCATGAGCTTTCTATGATATATACGCACTCATTGGTCAGCTCATGACGACTACGGAGACTGCATCAACTGGTAGTGATATCACTGTGTGATCAGTTTCTGGGAAGGGACATCCATTCAAAGTTAAAGAATATCATTTCTGTTTGTTTACAATTGAAGCTTACTCATAGGCAGCTCTCTGTGCAACCCTTAAACCCTCTCCATAAAATGCAACATAATTGCGATATTCATGCTTAGAAACACCTGCTCACAACTGTGCAAAACGTCTTTGCGCCCATCTGTATCTTATACACAACGTTTAGAATTAAAAAATGAAAATCGATCATGGATAGTGACAATGTAGAGCTTGATGGGTTTTGATTGTTTTGTAAGATGAAGAGATTATCTTTCCCAAACTCACATTTCTATATCTTCAATGTGCAAAGATTATTCAATCTAAAGTATATTTTGTTTATATTTCTTTACTTTGACCTATATTTATTTAGTTGGAAAAAAATATGCATTGAATGAAAAATTTCAAATTAGATCCTATTACTTTGATGAATTGAAACGGAAGCTTGCAACATCCTACAAATATATTTTAGTTCGATTTCTTGATTTAGATTACGATAATTTTCTAATTAATAAAAAATTTCCAAAAAACTAATCAATATTAACTTCAGAAGAATCAATCAACTTATTTTTTCTTTGAAAAATAAAAAATAATAAATTGCAGAGATAAATGATGAACATCATATGATAAATATCTATATTAACATTTATGTCAATTCAAAAAGAAAAAATAAGAATGAAATTCAACAAATTGTTTGTAAATTTTGATGATTTTATCAAATATTTGAAACTACAGCACAAAATGTTAGAGAAACCGACTTAATGTTGCATTTTAATGATACGTGATTAAATTATTTCAAATAAGAAAATATGGATTTTTTTTTTACTAAATTCAAAATTATTAGAAAAAATATTTTTTGTCAATAGATTTCTTCTAGAATTTTGAAAATAAATTTATGATAATAATTTAAAGGTGATTCGAAAAAATTTGCCAAGCCATCAAGTTTCAAACAACAGTCAATATATCATCACAGCTTTAAGGTGATTATTATTTTTCAGACTACTTAGTTGAATTCTCATTTTGAGTTAAACTAATTGTCAAATTCAAACCTTTAAGAAGTAAAAATATTTTGCGATGTAATATATTTTATGTATAAAAATGAGATTGAAAACTCTTGCTCTAATTAAAAGTTAAAACCTATTCATTAAAATATTTATTTGATTCTAGTGAATAGGTTTGTTTTAGAAATTAAGATAAAGTTACGATAAAGTAGATTAAGGGGATTAGAATTTTTTTCAAAGTCATGAAGCTTCCAAAAACAATAAATATATCATCACAGCATTACAATGATTCAAAATTTGAGATGAATTATTTCAACTCATTTGGATTTTGAGAAGTAAAAATACAACTTGTTAAAAATACAACTCATCTTTGTTATATTTAATAATACAACTTGATCTCTTTAATCTTTTTGAAACTTTTGATCTTTTTAGATGTGAGTTTACTCAACAAACATGTAGTTTAATATAATCAACATCATCAATATAATTTGACTAATCTGGAAATAACTTTTATGCTTTTCGTATATTTTTAACACTTGTCACATGTAGAGAAATCATTTTTTCAAATTTACACACTTATATTTATTTTTATGTATATATATATACTTCTAACATGTTAACAATGAAGTAGTGAGTATTTGTGAAATTAACTTATTCCATTAGAGTGCTTTTTCTTGATTACTTGGAATATTTTTTCATGAATGTAAACAGCTTTTTTGCAAGCAACATGTAATCTAAAAAACTGAAAAATATGATGAAGATTGATTTTGCAAATAAAAATTCGTCTGCTATTTTTATTTACATAATGATATTGGGTACACTTTTTATGTAGGATATACATAATCTCTTCTTTGATTCTTAATCAGTAGAAAATTCTTCATTCTTCATCTTTAGATTGGCATCTAACTAACTGACCCATGTGTCGATTGCAGCACCATTCCGAAACTATTTCACAATGGAGTGACAGACCGCATGCGTTTTAGTCACAGAGGAAGTGACAGGATATGTCTGAATGCACGCCATTTTGTCCACTAACTGTGGTTCTTGATGAGTTCTATTGGCTGTAAGATTGTGAGCAGCTAGAAAGCCTTCGGTTAATGTTCATCTCACCTCGACGATACATGGTCATTTTTATTTCTTAACTTTTGGTTCTGACTGTGCCCAATGTTGGAATAATTCCAATCTTCTTGGTTAATCACTTACCAAGATACATTCGTATATACTCATCACTTTGATCGAGGGCGATATACAAACAATATCAAAGTTTCAATGGATGTTCCGAGATGAGCTTTAATAGACTTGCCTGCCTTATGATTATAATTCTCTTTCGCGCTCCCTTCCCTTCATCAGTAACATACATAGTATCTGCGCTTTTGAGGTTGAAATTCTAAAGTACTCTAGAATTCGGTGCTTCTTTTGATACTTCATCAACCTCAGTTGTTGAGAGGAATCTGACGCGGCACTATGGAAGCTCTGGCAATTCAAAGACGAATTTAGCTTCTGTAACAAGCTTGAGGCACAGTTTCATTCCATAATGAGCTATGCATGTCCGTAGGCAGAGCATCGAATGCTATCTTGTACAGTAGCTTCTATAATCTAATTTCTTCACAGCTCTTTTCTATATACACAGTAGGCTCTGGGGGAATGCCTTTCGATACTGGGAAACTTGGGATCAAGAATGCTCATACGTTAAAGCAAATGTCAAATTGAATAAAATTCCTCTTGAGTTCTCCATTTTATTCATCTACGCGAATGCAATTCCAGTTTTCCACACTATGGCGTATATGGCTCTAGCAGAACGGCAAACACGGCAGACTCAAAATCTGCCAAGGTCCAAATTTACCATAAGTATGATCATATTGATACATAATGCAGTCAAAAACTTTCATTTTAATTGTCAAGGGCATGGACTGTCCACCGCCGTTTCTGTGTTGGCCAATATCGATAAAAAAATGAAATTCGTACGGAAGAACATCATAGCATTCATCTCAGTCCTATAAAATAGAACCTAAGTTTTATTCTGGAAAACTTCCACCAAAATTTTTAATTTTGAATGTCCTTTCATATTGTGTCGGCCTTCCGCATTCAGGAGGAAGGTGACCCTTGTACACAACAACTGTGAATTTACCCAATTCGTGAGACAATATGATGGTTATGTGAATAGTGATGGTTATGAGCCAACGCTCATAAACAATCACAATTCTTTGACTAGAGATAGCATTTTGCTTAGAGAAAGCTACGAGTAGGTTACCCACATGTTCATCTGATTAGTATAGATTCCCAATATTACACATGCAGCGAAATTTATGTGAAATTAGACTAACATTGCCGCATATGGTCCACGTGGCATGGTAAGGCACCCAACCTGCTAGGACCTTCTCTACTCTTTCTAACTACAGATATTCACTTACACAATCTTACCGCAGTTATTGCCTAATTTTTTATGAAGAAACTTACATGAACTATGTGAATCTGGATACATTACCTATTCACCAGACAGGTAGAAAAATGTTGGGAGTCTATATAAAGTAAACTGATAAGTAGGGGCTCCCAGAGAGAGCGGGCAATTGGCGTGCAGTTTGAACCGTTGATTTTGAACGCGATTAGCCGTATTGCAAAACAGGAACTGGAATCGTCTTATTACCAAACAACACTATTACGATGTCATGACTGCAGGTCGAATCCTCACCTTCTATGTCATCATGATTCCTGGTTTCCAAGAATATCACGAATTCCTAGGTAGATTTGAATCTGCCTTTTCAAATAATCAAAATTTTTGATTTGAAAAGGCAGAAATATTCGAAATTAGTTCATAGTCTGTGGGAAATTAACCGCAGGTTTAAAAGAAAGGCAGAAGGTTAGCAGTTCACTTGATCTTACTATGATTCTCGGACGAAATTTGAATCTGAGTTCATGAAGCTCTGAAACTTCCCACTCGGAGTCTTCCAGAATTTGATTGACGATCAATTATCAGTTGCCTAAACAGTTGAAGATCGGACCTCGAGGCTAGCAATACAAAAGTGTACTATCAGGCTCATGATGTGCCCAGTTCTTCCGAACCTGGAGCAAAGATTTGCTGGTTGAAACTCATGCACGACTTCCTGCAACCAGCCATCCGTATATTTTACAGTCTTGAGAAGCTGTGCAGGAGTAGCGGTCATGAATCACGTATCCAAGAGCAATTCTCCATCCATGCAAACATGCGTGGATAGTTCTTTGAATTCTTACTTGGCGGTCGAGGTTTCGAACGTGGCGGGGGAGGAGCTGAAAGAGTTTGTGGGTGACATCGAGAGTGTGGGAAAAGGAAAGCAAGAGGGATTACTTTTGCAACCAGAATTCCTCTCACAAGTGCCACAGGATAATGCATGTGAGCATGTTTTGTTCGAGGAAGAGAAGCATGCAAGAAAGCTCCAGGTGGAAGAGTTATACTTCGATAACACTCGAGATGATTTGAGGCAACGATGGCAGGTTTTATCCCAGAATCAAGATCTTCTTTGGCATAAAAAGAGGGTCTTTCAACTATTCGGTCGTGTGATGATGCTGCTCGAAGAGAAGCTGTCATGTGCCAAAGAAGTGGAGAAACTGAGTAAAACATTGAGTGAAGAGAAGTGTTTAGATCAGTCCAGTTTAACGTCGGAGACAGCGGCATTCAGACATGATTCATCTCCTTCTTTACGTGCTTTAAACTTTGACATCATGCACAAGCGAAGAAGTCCTTCTCCTACGCATGGTTTTTCCCAAGAGATCAGGAAAGGGACTTTCAATCTTCAGTTATCGGACTCTAGTCCTGGCTATATCAGTCTCACAACTTCAACGTCTTCAGGCTCACCTTTCTTGCAATCAGATCGTGGAGGAGTTGCAAGGGGACCTGCATTTAATTCAGTCGGTGAGCCTTATTTCCCTTGTGAGTGGGGCATGCCTTCGAAGCAGATATCATCTAAAGTTGCCACCATGTCATTACCTCTATCAGTGCAAGAATCTCGAATAAAAGATCCTCCGTATCCAATATTCTTTGAAAGAGAAGCCAGTCACTCATTTCGCAAGTTTACTTCATCGGAAGGAAGTCAAGTGCCCTTCGACGAGTTTAAAGGTTCATCAAATTCTTCTTCAACCCAACATTCATCTCCTGATTATGGATTTCCGATTCGTCCTCCATCATTTTATTCTGAAGATTACGAGGTTCGTGTCATCTATCGAACTAACATGGAATCTTGCACTTTGTACTTACCCTTGGGTATCAATTGGTACCTTTGGCAGCAGGTTTCTCTTCGTACACCTGACCTGTTAATGAATTAAGATTCTTCGTCATCCCGATGTGATGATGCGATTGAAAATTAGAGTTGAATGAAAGAGAGCCTGACACTGATATCAATCTGATCTTTTCTGGCCAAAATGAAACATTGGTACTTCTTGAATGTACATGTTGATCAAATTCTTTTCGATTGTATTCAAAACATGACTTCAAGCTTTATGTCGTGAATATGACAGAACATTAAGTTGAGGAGAGCATCAAGGAAGACTATAAGTCAACAAGGTCAGTTCAAGACTGAGCTATGCAAGAATTGGGAGGAAAGGGGTGGTTGTCCATATACTGCAAACTGCCGGTTTGCGCATGGTATTGAAGAGCTTCGTCCGGTCGTTCGACACCCTTTGTATAGGACTCAGATTTGTAGAATGCTTGTTGAAGGTAGGGATTGTATTTATGGTCATCGTTGTCATTTCCGACATTTTTAAGCAAATGAGGAAAGGTTAACTGTTAACAGAATTCAGAAGAAGCCATACTGATTTAGCAATGTAATATTATCGACACATGTCATGTTACGATCACACAGTAGTTGCATGATAAGAAATTGTGATTAGGAGTCTAGTACTCACTCGGTTCATGTAGTAGCATCTTTCCATCGAGCTATCCAGATGGCGTCTATTCTTATTAGTGTATTATTTGATAGAACGATACCTTAACCTCCGTCAGACTAGTTTAGCATCAACAAAGTCATAAGCAGCAACAAAATGCAACTCTATACATAAACACTATCTCTTGGATACATATTTCAATTTTTATTCCGGTAAACATTTCATTAATGTAATTGGATGTGTTATGTAATCTAAATTCAAAAAAGCGTAATTTCAAAATTGTTCAAGTTATAGTCAAATTTCTGCTTAACAATGCACTTGCTCATCTAGTCAACTACATGATGTGAAAAAAAACTACTGTATTCGCAGGGCCGGAATAGGTATACAGATAGTCACACCAGTTATTTCAAATATACAGTATTTACTTTAAGATTAACCTATATATCTGGAAAGTTGTTGTCTGTCCCCAAAAAATATGACTGATTTTCCTGCCTCTTATACGATAGTTTATGATAGGTCCATTAAAAATTATCAATACATTTACTGATTAAAAACGAGATATCAAGATAACCTGTGCATAACAAGAGTAGACATTCAAGTTGATGATTCACGCCATATTCATTGAAACACATCTGCTTTGGAGGATGAATTACGTTAATCAGAGTACACGATATTTAGCTCTAACAATCCTCCAGCAAATTTGAACCCAACATCATGTCATTTAATCATTCCTCAGCTTCGCTAACCCCATGTATGATACACAGCAGAAATCTCTGACACAAAGACATAATCAGGATGGGCTTTCGTGGCACCGTTCTAGAATTACCACCATTTTCTTGGTATATGTGCTGTTTCAAAGAATCATGATTCGATGGTTTTAATTGAATAAACTGATAAATTCACTTCTATTACGAATATTTCAAAGATTTAGAAAAACAATGGTTGTATAACGTATTGAAAGCTTATGAGGCAGTATGAAATTTGCAAAGGCATATAGGTATAGTCGAATAAAATCAATTCCACGGAATCACCATCCACAGTACATATTTCGTTGTATATAATATATTTTATTGATATGTCTTGCAGCTCGCTAATGACGGCCATCTACTTATTCTGAGAGAATAATACTACTCCATTATCAATGACACATTCATATAAGAATTAGCAAGATAACCACAACTTCAAAGATATACATATCATATATAATATTCTGAATTCAAGTAGTTCATCACTTATGTAGATTTATAATATAAATCTCTTCGTAAAGGATGATAATTTCTACCGTAGGATCACATTTTTGTTTTTTCTGTAATCGATCTTATATACAATAGAAGATAAGAAACTAAACAAAAGCTGATAAAGAATTTTGGAATCATCCAATGTAGACCTCCCACATCCTAAACTATTAAATTGAGATATTGTTTCAAATAAAAGATGCACCCCATTAGCGGCGATGTCTCACTAATCAATCAAATCCTTTGAATCAATCCAATACATCAAGTCAATATCAACTAACTTACCATTATATCATTAATCTAACACTGTAAGAGGCTGTAAGCCAATTTAAAATGCTCTTCTAAATTCTACTAGGAAAGAAAAAATATGTTGTTATTTTGAATTTCATGAGCAATTCTTGATGATAATAGATGAATATGAACCAGAATCATACTAGAATTCATTCTCTACATAGATATTGCATCATAACATAGGTTGTTATCACATTTACACTCAAATTGAGTAGTGAATCATATGCCAACGCAATTCTAGCACGTCTTCTTAAATTTCAAAACTTTCAATAATGAAGTCATAATTACAGCATATAAAATCAGATGAAAATGATATCAAGCTCATTTTATGATTAAAGATCTAAATCATGTAAAATTGTGTTCTCTAAGTTTCATTTTAAACATTAAGATCTCATATTGCATTAATTCAACATTTTCAATCATTTTAACAAAATTGGTAACCATAATTTATATTACTGGCACTAACTATATACTGTGCTCCAACTGTTATATTTGATCATATTATACGGATGATTTGACATATATTGTCAAAGTTAAAGTAAAAACTCGTAAGAACAAAATTTGTATCTTAAGTTATGATTTCATATTCAAAGATCAGTCTGGTCTCTAAAATGTATTTTTTTCAAGAATTTTGCCCCATATTTATGATAAACATCTATTGTCACATCATCCAAATGTTTAAATAATATTTCCGAAGTCATAAACTGGTAAAAAATCATAATACATCAGTAAGAGCAGATTTATTAATGTTAATTCGATGAAAGCCAAAAGTAGGTCGTGAGCTATGAGGGCTGTGCCAATTAAACACAACGGTTTATATCCAAGGCATCCGGCCCACCGATTGATGTGCAGATCTTCGGAAATGTTTTCCGAATTTCTAGTAGGTCATGAGTCATGACGTATATATAGGGGTCTGAAATTTGGATTCTTATTGATCGCATATTATAATACAGTATAATACTAAATGTATTATATAACATTCAGAGGTCCACCTCAGAGGTTATCATTGTAGATGTTAATTTCGTTTATCATCTCCTCAGTCTCGAAAATATACTTTTCATGCTCAAGTTATAACGCGATTAAATTCATCACGGATATCAACACCAGAGTATTCTTTAAATCCAACTTCATATTTATTATCAAGTTTTGAACTTGTCCCAAATAACATTTTTGGTTTCTCCATTTCGGGTGGAGATAATTGTAAATCTGAAATCTTATACTTATGCCGATTATTAGGGATTACATTATGGACTTTTTATTACATAATAATACAAGGTATGGTTTGAGAGTGCTGTATAATACCACAATTATACATCATATTTATCTTGAACGATATCGAACACTCGAAATACACGTTGACAGGATTTTGAAATTTAAACACCCCACCTCATAGAAGGACGGTAGGATCCAAACTTCCCAGAGGACGCCGCCGCCTTCACCGTTCGAATAACGGGAGGCGCTGCGTGGCATTCCATAAGATGCCTAGGTAGCGCTCGAGGACGCCTACAGAACATCTCGTGTCCATCGTACGGGGTTGAGAGAGAGCGAGTGATTGCGCTGGGGCACACTTGAACCTTTAAAGATGAAGGGTTCCCGAAAGAACTCCCGAGCGCTCGTCTGATCTTCGACACAAAGATTCAGAGTACAATTCTTTCTTCGTATGTGTTTCGATTTTCATCTTTCGAAACGGTTTCTTTCGTGTATCACGGAGATGGAATATTGTTGTATCGATCATGTCTCGATGTGATTGTCATGAGCACGAATTAGTCAGGATGTTCAACTGGTCAACGAGAAGAGCAATGATCACATACGACTTACAATCTGTGATTTTCCGGCTGTACGTAACACCCGGCATAACGAATTTTTTTCTTGCAGATATATTCATTTAGATGTTGCTGTCTAAAGCTTTATAGTGTAGGCATCGTTTGGATTAGCTTCCTTCTGTTATCTTTTTCTTTGACTCAGATTTCCATCTGCTCTGGATGGGCCATCGCAGTCAATTGCAGTCGTTTCTTCTTGCCTTAAATATCCCAATTATACACAGGTTTTTACATCATTAGGATTCCACATCTGGATACTGCGTTGTAATGATGATAATTGTGACGAGAGATTGACCATGTATAATCTTGCAATCGTTTTGTCTGGTACACAATAACATGCGTCCGGAAGTGGCAACACAACACAGGTAGGCAAAGTGTGGGAAGACATCACGTAGAAGTGCACTTATATATATTTAGTGCTTTTACTTGCTATCAGGATTTTGTTAAGGTACAGCCTTAACCTATCCTCACTTATCATGATGAGCGGCTAGAATATTTTTCGAATCAATTATTTTAGTAGGATATTAAGTTGAATCACACCTCAACATTGTTGTAAGACGTCATGGTAATACCGTATCGATGAGGAAAATAAGAAGAAGGCGGGCAAGAAGATAACTCATGAGAGTTTGCTGCATACCAGGTTCCAACACTTGGTATGCATGGGAATCCTAATGAGAGGGGACTAATTTCTAGAAAAATATTTGATGGGAACTATCACCTTATCATTTTACTCTATGGTACTCTATCGAATATACACCATAACCAAGTTATAAACAAAATTTTATTGTTTATAACTTGGTTATAAACGAAATTTTATTATTTATAATTTGGTTATAAACAAAATTCTTGTAACTATATATTGAGGACTATAGTCTATAGTCCACAGCATAAAATGCTATCTTGCGGGGGAGTGATTACCAACATCGAGATATAATTTGCGGCTATAGCGTGGAGGAAGTAACTCTTGGAAGGTCCAAGTTGGTTGCAATTTTTGTAAACGCAATACCACTGTCATCCTCTAGAGGCAGTGCAACTGATAACGTTCTTCTGAACACTAATTGTTTTAGAAACTTGCTTGAAGTTTCTTGAGATTTTTTTCAAAGAAACTATCAGTGAAACTCACTTACGCATAGAACGTCTCAGAATTCAGCGACTCTCCAATCTTTTTTTGGGGGTATGAGGGGAAGCCGTCGGTGTTTGAAACACCGACGGCTTCCCCTCATACCCGCTCCGCTGCTGCTCGGTCCTCCTCCTGCCTCGCTGCACGTCCTCTAAACATCTTTTTCTATGTTACAAATCATTCTATGTCAATATTAGAAGAAAGCTGACGTGTTCCATAGATAAAATCGGATAACACGGATCATTTTATCCGTGTTGGATCCCAGTAAGTTATTTTTATTACTTAGTATACCATAGTTATTTGTGTTACACAATATATCATAAAGTAAAGTTCTCCTAAATTTCAAAGAGAGTAAATCTAGATGCTAACAGTACTAAAAAATTTGTTAAATTAGAGAACTTGGCTTTGGTGATATGCATTAGGTCTACATTTATATGCTTATATATCTAGATGGAATGATATCTGGTTCAAATCCAATTTGTCCATCGCTCACAATTTTTATCGATTTTAGAGCTGCATCATCAACTTAAATAAAAAGTTTTCTATCATGATATATATATGTCTTAAAGCAGGACAAATAGTCTATCAGTGAATTCTGATCCAGGAGTTGTATTACTGATTACTAAAATCAAATTTGAATATTGAAGAAATATATTGAAATTTGAAGAAAAATATTCTTCAAAATTGTTGCCGAGTATGTACATGGGTATCTTTCAAATGTTTCAATATGTTTCTTAAATCGAAAGGTAACTGTTATTGATCAAAGGAGCAAGTTTAGACAGCATATTCATTCGCCATGGCTCTCACCTGACAATGAACAGGAACTTTCCAATTACCAAGATAAATGTTCCAGTCCTAGACCGCGCTCAATAATCTAAGTACAATCTTTTTTTTGCTTTAGAACCTCAGAGTTCGTCGCATGTAAAGGATTTGAATTGGTCTGCAATAAATACAGAACCATGAAGCAAAACTAATCTAATCCTTCTTATCAAAACAGACATTTCGAATCTAATTTTTGTACAGTAACATATAATTGATTAATTAAAATATTTCGTTCTGTGATACTAAAACTGTAGGTTTTCAGTAATATGTTTATTTTTTGAGGTGAAATGGTCATAAAAACGTTGTAAATATTAATTTTGAAGTCAACATGTATATGAGAAAATTTCTAGAAGGTTAATACACAAATGTAGTGAAAACAGATATACAGATTATTTGGCATACTTTGATAAATACTATAGAGAAACCCCTACAATAATTAGTTCTTGGTTTTTTTGGGTCAAAAAAGTCTCTTTAATTTTACTTAATATAATCTCCGTATTTTGTATCAACTGCGAGTCAATATTTACATTAATTTTGATGAAATTGTTTTTTTTCCAAATAAACTCAAACATGACTAAGTTCATCCAAGATGAGAATAGATAGAATTCACATTAAGTTCATCCAAGACAAGAGTAAATAAAATTCACACTAAGTCTAATCGTAGAAGATATAGTGTAAATTTTACTATTCCCTTCCTTGGATTCACTTAGTTATGTTGGCGTTTAACAATGTGACAAATTTATTCGAAATTGATGTAAATATTTACTTACATCATCTTTCTATCTTGTATCAACTGTGAGTCAATATTTACATCAATCACAATCAAATTATTCTATTTTTTTAATAAATTCTTACATGACTAAGTTTATCCAAGATGAGAGTAGATAGAATTCACACTTAGTTCATCCAAGATGACAGCAAATAGAATTAACACTTAGTCTAATCGTACAAGATAAAGTGTAAATTCTACTATTTTCTTTATTAGATTAACTTAGTTATGTTCGAGTTTAAGAATGAGAAGAATTTCATCCTGATTGACCTAAATGTTTACCTACATCATCTTTGTATATTGTATTACCTGTGATTGAATATTTACATCAATCGCGATGAAATTTCTCTTTTTTTTCAAATAAACTCTTACATGACTAAATTCATCGAAGATGAGAGTAGAAAGGATTGACACTTAGTCCATTCAAACATATCAGATAGAATTCACACTTAGTCTAGAAGTACAAGATAAGGTGTAAATTTTACTATTCTCTTACTTGGACTCACTTAGTTATGTTCGCGTTTAAGAAAGAGAGGACTTTCATCCAGATTGATGTAAATGCTTACCTACATCATCTTAGTCTCTTGTGTCAACTGTGAGTTAATATTTACATCAATTAAGATGAACTTCCTCTTATTTTTTCATATAAACTCTTACATGACTAAGTTCACCCAAGATAAAAGTAGATAGAATTGACATTTAGTCCATCCAAAATGATATCAGATAGAATTTACATTTAGTCCAACCAAAATGATATCAGATAGAATTGACATTTAGTCCAACCAAAATGATATCAGATAGAATTGACATTTAGTCCATCCAAAATGATATCAGATAGAATTCACATTTAGTCTAGTCGTACAAGATAAAGTGTAAAGTTTACGATTCTCTTACTTGGACTCACTTAGTTATGTTCGCGTTTAAGAAAGAGAGGAATTTCATCCATATTGATACAAATATTTACCTACATCCAACTTCATTTCACCTTAATAATTATTGTTTCCAAACTCACAATTGCAGCAAGTATTAATTAAATCGTATGTGAAGAATAGAAGGATAGTCTAAAATTCGTTAGCATATGTATCATCGATGTTGTCGGCCTTTATAATACTACGGAAAATCAAATTACCGAAATGAAGCCCATTAAACTCAGTCAAAGAGTAGTAAACATTTTACGCACTGGCATTGCGGTATTATGTATTGAATTTCATAATTTTTTGTGTTTATATATTTATTTTCAAGCATTATCACCATTAGAAACTGCCAGTTTTACATTGAAGTGTCTTTCGATACATGATGAACCTTACATACTTTATTACAAGTACTTCAGGGTCGTACGTTCAGATTAGTTTGTACATGAGTGATCAAAATCGTTGGTGCCACATCATCCTGAATACTACTGCAAAATCTTCTTGCAGATCCATCTACGACAGATCAGTGACGTTCAGAGTCTGACTGCCATGATTATCCTCAGCAGGGACGTCAGCAGCAGCAGTACATTCTCTGCTGCAACTACCAGACAACTTCTACTGCAGTGAACATCTATTACCCACTACTGAAGGTTAGAGTTAGAAAGTAACTGGGAAGAAAAGGGATCTGATTCAAAGTAGATGTCCTTGGATGTGTTTAAAGGAGTATGCTTCTGTGAATAAAGGATGTTCTAATAGTCTTCTTTTTTTAGCCCAGCTTAGATACGATTTTGTGATCAGTAATTATGCATGAAGTTGATCCGGTATACGCGTTAATGTTAGTCGCCATTCTACAGCAGTGTTCGGGTTTTCAGTTTGGGTATCCATTACGGATGGAGTTATGGAAGTAGTATAACTTAGACGTTCTTTTGAGCATGCTGGATGATCTTTCACATCGTTGGTGCAACCGCGGAAAGAAAGGTTTCTCTTTTTTTCTGAAAGGAGGGCATAGCTGTGGTACCAAACTCATTTCATATGCTGTGAAGCAATGTGCCCTTCTACGAACAGTGTTTAATTGAGCTTGAACTACATTCTTTCTGAAACATATTTTGGTGGTCATCATTGTATGCAGTTGGCTGTACATGTAGAGAGTACGGAGTTCTCTTTCCAGGCGTCTAGATTTGTAACATTTGTAAGCGACGGTAGCCAAAAGAACAGACATTTGCAATCCCATGGAAAGTATCGGGCTTCTGTAGGGCAGGCCGCCGTCTGCTTCACTCACCTCACTACATATGTGGATCAATGGGAGCATCTCAACTCATTACTTGAGCTCAGTAATCTGACCATTCTTTTCAACGATGATCTTTTATTCTGCGTTTTAATGTCTATGATGGCAGCTTGAAAGTATGATTATTCTAACAAAATTGTTCTTGTTTTTCGATTCTCCGACCGAGACTATTAGTGATAGGAAGCTCTTCAAATGTGTGCAAAATCAAGTCGTCTGACCTTGAATCTGTTACTCGATCTGCAAGAGTTGGAGCATTTTATGCATTTGCCTTTTAATCAACTAACAGCCATCGCAACTGTCAACATGGCGGATACTTTGAGTGACTTCATTGCTGCGTTTTTCAATCAAAAGCAACATGATCCGATGGAAGTTGTGCTGGGTTGTAACAAAAGGTATGAATCAAACTCTTAATGCTTATCAGCTCGAATTTAAAATTCGTCAGTCTTACATGCCACTTGTTAACCGGAATAATTCTTCACGATCGCGCAGATTTGAAAAGATAGAGCAAGAAGATGAAGAAGCGTTGACATTTGAAAGTCATTCCAGTGAAAGATATTCAGATGTATGTATCGCTGCTACCTCTTCACATTTTTCATTTATACTCCAATGTGTGTTCATAGATTCCGCCTTCATATTTTTCTCTTCTAGCCGGTCTCTAAACACTTAGACTGCCGTTGCTGGACTTTAAATCTCCTCGTCCATAGCATCTCGGACTAACTCCCGAACGCCTTCTTCATCTTTGTGTACTTTTGAAGGATGGAGCTATTGTAGAAATGCCTATCCGAAATCTGCAGCAATCTTTCACCGAAAGCAGAGGTGAGACCAAAAGGTTCAACCGGTCCGAAATGCGTAAAATGAGCGAAATGCAGCTAGTGGAGCATCTTCGAGAATGGAAGCGGATTCCAAATAAGAAAAGGGCTTTGATAGGTGAAGCCGATGTATATGAGACTCATCCAGAAGTTTTAATGAAAGGTAAGTCTGTGCAGAATCCACCTCAGCTACATCAAGAAGAGTTATCGCAATTTAACGAATGGCAGGTTTTAGACGATAGTAAATCTAAAATCATAGACTGAAAACTTTGAATTTGTATCAGTCTCCTGATCAACATACTCTTGTGTGTGTATGTTTGGATCTCGTGACCCTCTTGATCCGAACTTGGCATTTTTTCCTGCCGTTGACATATGAAAATTTCAATTCAGATCGGAACAGAAACTAGCCAACAGACTCAAATTTGACTTCAAGATGCAGATTATTATACTCTTCATAAATATTGACCGAATCTACTAACAGTAATGACAGATGAATGCTGTAGGTTCTTATCAATAAACAGATTAAAAAACCGGAATCTGGAGGCCAAGCCCCAACTTTACATCAGCTGTTTCTTGTAGCAGTAGTGCCGTTAATTATCTTAGCGTGGGTTTGCTGTCAAAGTCGGGATTGTGAGCTCGAAGTAAACGGAAATAGGTACTTACATGATTACTACTAACCTGAGGGCGGTCCATTTATTTAATCCGTTTCATGTACGTCACAAATTTTTAGCCTTTTTGTAGGATTTCGGTAATGGTCGAGAGTCACAAAGATCTCCCATTGATGAGCACATTTACGATTGGGTGTCCAGCTGCAAATATCGAGTTGGACTTCTGCTGTAAGGATCTGAAGTCATCTTAACTATGGGTGTCGTCTCAATCAGTGCACGAAGGTTCAAGAAAAAGCATGGCATCTGTTATATAGAGAAACTTCCTCATTATAGTTATCTTGATCTACCTTGCATCTTGTATGATATAATATGATGAAAAGATCGATCAAATAGATCGATCATGTAACATCAGTTCTTTGCTGAAGAATTGAGAGCTAAATTTCTAATGCCAGATACTAAGCTGCTTCAGACGTAATTAGTAGCGTCTATTCAGCTTATCAGTATTCTCAAGTTAGCTATTGTAATACGCGAGGATCCGTTATGGTAACCCCTCCATGGGATTATTGGCTTCTTTACATTCCTTCTTGTACTTGCTGTTTCTTGGATGATAAATTCCATTCTTGTTTTCAGTCAAGGAGCACAAACTCCACATCAGACCCAGTGGCATTAAGTTCCTGTCATTTCCGAAGACTACATGGAGCAGTTGTAGAAGAGGAAGGTCATATTATTACGACTGTAGAAACATTTCTTATTTTCGGATGACCAAGTCAACTAAACGATTTTATTTTTTTAGGATCTTCTTCAAGTTATTTTATCACCAGCACCAGATATACCCTCTCGCAGCGGCCAAGAAGACTCAGAAAAACGGAGAACGGCTGTCGCTGGAGACAACAGGGTAGATCTTACCCAATCAATGATAATGGAATACCCGTAGCATATAAGACATATTTGAGCTATGTGCCCCTCAAGGATACACTCAATCGGCAAACTTTGAGTACATTAGGATATGAGGCTCCAGACATCAACTTCTTCGTGACGAAGGATGAGTCCAATGATGATTCACTACTCAGGGCGCATAAAAAGAAAGAGGTTCGCAAGTGGGCGATTTGGACCATGGAGGAGATCGTCCTTGCGGAAGACCTCGATTTGGAAAAGGTTCTGCTACAAAACAATCAGAAGCCAGATCCTGTTCCTATGATTTGTCGAATATTATGCAAAAGGGATTCTCGCAGCTCAAGGCGATCATCAGTTGATCATGAAAGCGTGAACTCCAATTCCAGTTCCAGCTTGAAGGTGAAAACTGAAGAAGAATATAGTGTCTATTTTCAAGCGTGAGAGAGAAATTTTGGTCATTCGGAATCATTATCAGCAAACGGGAGCTGTAAACATGTTGCAGAGTTCATTCACCCAATATAGGCATCAGTAATTATCGCATATTTATCAATCCAGAATCCAATTGATGTGGAGGTATTTTATGTTTGTGGCTAAAATTCATGTCCGATAAAAGCCCAAGTTCACTTTATTTTAGCAATGAAGTTTTCTTGAAGCCCTGAGATAATACAATTAAAATAAATCTCAGGGATAAGGACCTCTTTCATCAGGACAGCAGCTTTGGTTGATATGGAGCTATCTCATTTCGTTGCTATAGACACAGATTGGTTCAACACAGGACTTTCAAAATGACTGTCAGTGGAATATCTCGAAGTCATGTCCCAGTTCCAAAATTAGATTCTCCATGCTCCTGAACATTCACAAACGAAGGTATTCATGCAATTTACGTAATGAAAGTCATGTCTCTCTCATGTTGTACATCACAATGAGCATATCACTCTTCTGTGATGTAATCCATAATGGTGATAATCCACAATGATCGAAGTTGGAGTCAAACTCATGAATCTCTGTAGGGTATTAAAACGTTAACATAATCAACGTTACCTAGTTTCTCTCGTTTGCATGTGTTATGTATGTTTTGATCTCCTGATTCAACATACGAGAGAGATATGTATGTGTTGAAGTAGATGTGGTACTGCTCCCAACAGTTGGCTTATTGGCTGCTGTCCTTCTCTTGCCTGGTAGACAGTACAAGGGTGTAAGTAAATCACACGTACGTACATGGTATTTTTCTTTCTTTCAACGCCACAGTCTATAGATATCGTGGATTTTGAATGAGTTCTACTGCTCTTCAGGCATCTAAAGCTATGTGGAGGAAAGCTGACAAACGACCGCATTATCCACTGAGTAACAAAGACCCGATCTGATAAAATGTTTCCGGTACACGACCAGCAGGAACCCGATCTGATATATTGTTGCATACATTTATATGGAATTTAAGGGTCCTTACCTGAGGTCTGGATTCCACTTCTTAGAAATGAACGCATGTTCACCTCAAAATTCGGAAGGATCTTGTGTACATCAGTAATTGTGAGTTGATAAAGACGTCAGTCAGAGTAGGATATGGTCTGACTGTCTTGTTCGGTACGTTTTCTTCCACTCAATCGATCGGTTACAATGGGTATGAGCGATCAAGTGGAGGCTGTGACCTTCATATACCGTGCCGTCCGTCATATAGAACATGCTTTAGCTTCAGGACCCTCGAAAGAGAACGCGGATACTATTTGATAAAAGGTTACAAACTCCCTTCGGAAAAATGATCGTGAACCAGTACGATTTGATCAAACATGTCAAGGCTCGCTACACTCTCAAAGGCGCAAATAGTAGACATCCAATTCTGGTTCCTTACGAGGTTTTAAAGATGGACGAAGATCCAAATGAAGATGGAATCGATGACATGTACAAAGAAATAAGAGAAGTGAAAAATAAACGATGACGCAGAAAAGGACATGCTTATAAGTTTGAGAGGCCAATTGACAAAAAACTTGTTGCTATAACTCCAAAAAGTATCGATCATGAAAGGTATGAATGCTTGTTCAAATATTACTGGGTCAACTTCCTCCAGCAGAGCTCGACAAAGATAAAAAGCAAGTGGAAGTGGCATTGTTTATTTGGAAACCTGTGAATCAGACGTCGAGGATTACAACACCGGTTCAGATAGTGGGGCATCAGGTGAAGGGAACGACAAATTGGACACTTCTGATAAAACCAAGCAGAGGAAGAGAGGCAAAGCATAAAAGTATACACACTAGCATCATATAAAACATAATATCCGGTAGACGCCAATTGCAGGGTGCAGGATTTCCAGAGAAGTAGAAAAATGTATGAAAAGTTGGGCTTTAGCTTCTATCTGGGGGCTCAGCTTGGAAGACAATCATGAAATTGAAGTACCATCTGAGAAAGGGTAGGTGCTGAAGGAAGCTAGGAACCTCATGCACGGGCTCAAGAGAGAAGAGTTAGAACAGAGTCCATGGTAGTGGCAGAAAAGAGGAATGGTACAATGGATGTGAGACTTCGTGACAAAAATATCATGATCCAGGCATGCAGATCGACCATAGTTGAGGCTCGTGACTGAGTCCAGCGTGTCTCTGACGATCTATCAGATGACACGAGGAGCAGAAAGTAGCGCATCGAAACGTTGCTGGAGCAATGATGTAAGGAATCCAAGAGTGCAAGCATGCTTTCAAGCTGCATTCTCGATTTTTCAAAAAGGGCATGATTTAGCTGCATGGGCTCAAAAAAAAAAGCGGATTCCGTAGAGGAGACAGAGATTGAACAGGCCATCTATCAGGGATGACGTTCAGTGCAAGAACTTTCCCTCCTCTGGCCTCGTGAAGGACAAGTACAACCAACATCACGTCTCCTTCACCTGCCCTCGACCTTGTCTTATTGGAAGTTGGAAAACAAGCAGAGAGTGCCTTTCATTCAGCAAATGCTTGAGACAAAATTCACTCCTAATTACCAGCTTGCATGAGACACCTGATGCTTAAAATTAACAAATTATTGCAGGGAATATATATAGACACATAAACGACGACAAATTTCAATTCTGCCCGGATCACGGATCAGGTATGTAAGAGTCAACGTTAGATTATTGGTTATCTTCAATTCATTCACTCCTATACAACCAGGCACTGGTACACCTGATGACCTAACAATGTAGTGACAGACTCTATTACATGATTGTTGGAAGATGATGCATGCAAAATTTATGGAAGTCTCTTCTTTTCCTTGTTTGATCTCAGACGGATTACTCTTTTGCCAACACGTGGATCTTGGATTCTATCATTACCTTTTACATCAGACATATACATTTTGGTGACTGTGCATTCTAAATCTGACAGATAACCAGAATTGAAGTGTTCAGACTTGGTCGAGATAGTGAGAAATCGCGACATTGTCATGGTTTCGGATAGAATTTTCGGGTACAACTAGGAAACAGGACCTTCAATCCCCGTTAGCCTTGTTGACTTGATATAGCATGAGCTGACTTGGAGGTCAACCACATAATGTATCAGATCACATGACTTTCAAATATATGCTCAAGTTATGTAAGCTCATTGTGGCCAATACTCACTCCCACATGTTTAACTTGATGATAGATCACACTTACACTCAAGTGAGGTTGAAAATTGTAATGGATATTTTAAAACCATCACTTGGGATTGAATCTTGAATAGTGCAATCTGAAATTGGCATGTATTACGTTACGTAACACAAGTAAAGTAGTTTGATTATGTGTCTATTCCTAACCTATTGCTCTATATGTGTTTACATATAGAGTATAAGTTTAGAAAACCCAACTAATGGATGAGATATTAGATCTCAAAAAACATTTTTTGCATGTTATCCACGTGTATTTTAAATTATATGAATTTATTCTATAATATTTTCACTTGATTTTGATCCAATAGTCTAAACCTTTGATTTTGAAGTCCATCTTTAGTGTGGATATGTTTCATCACCAACACATCATCTTAAAAACTTTTATATTTGGAACGTAGACATTCATATAGATGCAGCACTTTCTGTCTCGGTGTTCAAATACTTACTTACTTTTCACAAGTTCATCATAACAACTTCAAGTTTCTATTTTAGTGTGGTATAGTAAATGAGTTGATGAAATATATGAGTTCTTGCAAAATCCAACAATCATGACTCTCATCTCCAACATGCTAAGCTCATCTTCCTAGTAAAACAAATCATAAGAGAATATATGAACTATGAATCTCCAATTCTTATTCAAAATCTCATGTATGAAAAACATAATCTGTCAATTTTATTGATTTCTTATGTGTTTGTAAGCTATATTTTTTTCTTATCAATCACATTACAATATACGATACTTTTTTACCAAAAAAAATGAAAAAATTGCAAGTTGCTAGATTAAAATTTTACGACAAATCGAAATATCTTTCTAGCTAAAAGAAAAATGTTGATGGATGTTGGTTTTCAGTTTGAGTGTTTAATGTTTTTTAATCCTATTGAAAAATTCAAATAAATATACCATGACATGAATGTATATCTTCATTACAACATGTACTCATTTGAAGAAAACATTGGCTTAAAAGTTACATATGCATCACAACACAAAGTTCATAAAAATATCTCATCATTAATTATTCACATATTCCAAATGTCATAAATGAATATACACATCTATTCTTGGACAAATGACATCCAAACAAAAATTTAGCACATGCATCAAAACTTAGATAGATCAAAATGCGGACACTGAAGTATGTGTTTCGCAATCACTTTGCTGCTTCTTCTGGCACTACACATAAAGCTTTCATTGTGTACTGAGCTACAAGAAACTTCAAAATAGACCTCCCATAAATGCATTTTATACCAAGTGTAAAAGCATAACTAGTTGTAGATCTCTTCTTGTTCAAATCTTGTCAATAGTGAGCATCAACATAGCCTAGCAAGGATTTGGCATTGTCTAATGAATCAACAAACAAATTGTCACAATATTTAGTTATCTTCATATACTTGTGATTTCATATGAATGCTTGCTTATTCATCTTTCCTGGAGTTAACACATAACTCTTCATGTTGTCCATAGCTAAAACAATATCAAAATTTAAGCATACCATCAAATACATGAAGCTACACATAACTTTATTATTGAAAATTGATTTCATCAATTACTTTTCAATGGCAATGATTGTACATTAAATTGTAGAAAGTTGGAAATATGCTTTTAGAAGAGTGAATACTTCTTTAGATTCTACAATGTTATACTTGTCAAACAAACGTTAAATGTACTTGCCTTGATTTAATTATATTTTTTTCACCAGATTTTTTTAAACATTCATTTTTTTACACTTTTGGACTTATCAAAATCTTTCATTGTAAATGTTAACTTCAGTTGATTTTTCTATTTGTAAACATTCGATTGATTCTTTCCAACATATGCATATTATCCACATAAAACATTAGAATAATGAGTCCAAATCTTTCATTGTTCACAGTTATACACATGAATCATATACACTTTGTGAAAACTTTTGTACTTTCATGGACTCATCAAATCTTCAATTTCATCGCTAAGAAGCTTGCTTCAATACATATAATGATCTAGCAATCTACAAATGAACATCTTCCAACTTCTTTTTTTAAAGCCATCTGGTTGTCTCTTGTACATCTTTTATTTCAAATATTTATGAAAAAATGTTATAATGTTGTACATACTTTTAATTTAGAATTAATAAAATATTACCAATCAATTGTAATGTATTTTGCTTTAAGTGAAAAAACTCCGTTGTAATTTCACAACATATTTTTGTATGAAATATATTTTTGTATGACTTTGAAGTTTTTCTTCTCGTCATGTTTTCAATTATATTTTTGCTTTTATATCCACTTGCTATCAATCAAATTTTCAAATTTTAGAAGCTTCACTAGCTCTTGTGTCTGATAGATTGCATCTCACACTCTACAGTTGTATTTCACTCAAGATAATCGACAAATTTTTAAGCTTCTCTATGAGAGACAGTTTATTATTCTTCCAAGATCAACCAAATGTCAACAACATACTCAAATTCAATATGATAATTTTCTAGATTGAATGAATCAACCTACTATCTATGATTTATAAAAGTTATTTAAATTCAATCTGATAATTATTTTTTAGATTAGAACTTCGATAGGGTTGGGGTAAAACTCAAAAACCCAAGTTCGGGTCAGATCGACACCGGATGGAGGGCTAAAACCCAAAAAATAATAAAGCAACTATGTATAAGAGCAAGCCCAACTGTTTCGTCGTAGTCTGCATGGGCTTCCACTCCGTCTCGCAAAACTCTACTCCTGCTTTCGTGTCTGGCACTCCTACTCCTCATGCGCACCTCGCTCGATGCGATGCAGGCACCTACTCCATTGCTCGCTTCTGCGTCTAGTTGGGCCGCGCTGCGCTACCTATTCTGCTTGTACTGCCTACTCAAAAAATTATTGCATCACCTATTAGTCAAGAAAATACTCGCACGTTAAATTTCCCGATTCTCCCTCGTTGTTCCTCCACTCGCCGTACCCTCACAATCATGGATCCCCGGGGGTTGATTCGAGTTCTACCCTAATCGATTGACAATCTGATACGGTTTTTCGGGTCGGTTTCGGATTCAAGGTAAAATCCGACCCGATCGGAGACCTAATTTTATATTATTGCATTAATCTCTATTATGTGTGATTATTTCAATACTATAATCTATGACTTGTTTCTCCAATTTATGTTGTTACAATGTCCAACAAATATTAATCAAAACACTTAAAAAAACACCTATTATATATCTAAAAACCAAAAATATATTTTAATAAACAAATGAATTTGATAAATCAAATTCCATCAAAAAATAAGTATTGAAAAGTATCTTAAGTAAATAATGTTCAACATACAGACAAGTTTTTTTATTTTCAATAAAAATTAAGATGATGAAATTAATTTAATTTCTATCTATTTCTTGTATTAATATCTCATTCAATAAAATTATGAGATACTTTAAAGAATAATTTTTTATAAATTTTAAAATTTCATAAGATTTCAAAAACTAGCTGATTATGCTTGAATATGAAAAAAATATTAAAAAACCTATTATAAGTTTTTTTTCAAAAAATATTCTTAATGATATATTCTATAATCTTGTAGTTTGTTCATTAAATTTGTATTGAAAATTTGAAAAATAAAATTTTGGAAATTTGAAAAAAATATAGTGGAAAAAAATAGTGGTTTTATTTGGTTTTCTTGTTTACTATATTTATATACTCAGCCAGATTTTAAAACTTTTTGATCTTGCATATATCTATAAAGTATCTCAACTCTAATTCAAAAACTTCAACAAAACATTAATATCTATTGCAATTATTAATCAAATTTTTCAAAAAGAAATTCATCTTAGCTGTACATAAGAATATACTAATCATTAATTTATTTCATTTTTGAAATTAAATATCTTAAATTTTCATTATATAGTTTAATTCAAGTTTTTGAATAAAAATATTCATAAATCATTCATAAATACATTACTATTATAATTATATTATACGTAACATTATTTTGATTTTCTAAAATTTATTGGCAATTGTACTAGCAAAGTATACAATAGTAATAATTTTAATATTTTGCTTCAAGATTTTTATGTCATGAATTATCAATTGAAACTCGATTACTAGTATATATTCTAATCTCAATTTTTAAAATAATCTTTTTAAAATCAATCACATATACATGTTTTTCAAATAATAGCACTGAAAAATTAATATAATCTTTGTGCTCTAACATTTTTTGGCCATCTTAATAGCAAATACACACAATTGCCACAACTCTAAGATTTAACTTGATCATGAAAAGTCAATTTAAATTCTTGTCTTATGAATATTAAAGATTGCAGTTTTGTACTTGAAAAAATTTTCAAAAATTCAAAAAATCATAATAAATATAAATTTTTGTACCTGCACACGTTTTTTAGTAAATATGCCATTATTTTTTAACAAAATATTGATAATGGTCATAGAACACATATATAAATAATCTAGTTTGAATCATGATCTTTATCAAAGTAACATTTGACCTTTAATAAAAATTTTGTGTGCTTGTTATTTCAATGAGAAGGATATCATACGGTACGTTTGATAACTCTGGTTTCTGTAATCTAAGACGTTGATGATGGCCTACCGGAATTGTCATTGACAAATTGAAAAGTGAAAATATGATATTTTGTTCATAAAACATTAGGCTCTTTCATTGTAGATTTGCATATAGCAATCAGTTGTATACATTAATCAGACTTGTAATGATGTAAGTCAGAATACAAAACTAGATCAATGAAATTACTCTTTTTTTTTTGGTTTGATATTATCAGATCATCAATTCATGAGATATTTCATTACTCGTGGAGGCTCTTATTTTATATCCTGTACTTTTAGAAACTCCTTTGGATCACATAATATTCTGTAGTTCTTCACATGTAATGACGTCTTATTCCATGCTTCTTTAACCACGCAACAAACTACAATCGCATTATAACGAGCTCGAGGTTTGTCTATTAAGGAACTTTGGGTTTCATGATGCAGATGAAAAGGTCCGAGAGTGTTGCACTCTGAATTCGGGTGATTTGGAATATTGTGGGCCGGTGCGATGTAGTACCTTTAAAGCCCGTACCGTTGCTCCCTCAAATTGCCTCTAACCTAAATTATTCTGATCGTTACACATATAAAGCAAAGAAGGTTAGAACCTGAATAAAACTTGTTGGAGAACACACAATTAGAAGCTGTCTTAATGAAAAGCACAGCATATGAGTGAAGAAAACAATCATACTGAAGCAGGCAAAGTGACAAATCTTTTGCCTGGAAGGCCGTGGGCATTTTCTTCGAACTTATATACTAAACTAGACTAAACTAACAGCATATTCTGCACGGCCTCATACGATATTACAGATCATTACATACCAATATGGTATTACACACATTCGTAAGGCAGGGTTCTCAAAGGAAAATACAAACGAACCTGCGTATCATTGAGGTAAAAAGACTGAAAAGTCAGTGAATTGAAAAAAGTCCGTTGTAACCCTGTAACCATGCAAGATAGTTTCAGTGACAAGTCGACCATATGACGAGTGATATGGGTCTACAACCTCTGTCTGGACCTGTCATTGGAATAAATCTTAGACCTCAGGCACAATGTGTGCAGCGAATCAACAAAGTTATTTTCCGCATTTCCTATTGACCATTTAAAAAAAAGTCGAAACGTAGAGAGACCTCTGTATATACAATCCCTCTCACATCCAACTCCACGTACTGTATGTGGAGTAACACTTTATTATCTAACACTCCACATAAACTTGACGTAAATCAGAAAACTTCTCTTCGAAGAAACAAGCCAGATTCGATACTTTCCAAAAAAACATGAGAGTTTTCGGAACTGAAGCAGATATAATTCCAACATATTTATTAAACAAATAGAGAAGCTACGCTTCTCCATAAAAGACGCCAAACTGCGTCACACTACCTTTTGCAACGTATGTATATAGACTACTCCATCTTCGATGTCTCCTTTATTGAACAAATTTGCTCACCGTACTACAGTGAGCGCCAAACTGATCTAAAACACGGTGCACGAATACATGTACAGCTAAACACTAGCTGCCCTACATTTTGGAAAGGGCACTAGCAGGTATATGGCTCTAAAAGTTTCTAACCTGATTGGTACAGTAAACCGGCTACCTCACAGATCCCTGTCACGGTTCGCACCTAGGAGTGAATGTGGTCCATGTATACTGCCAGGGGATCCATGAATTTGGTCTAGAACAACCTACAGTGAATAGTATCGACAGATAGTATCGACAGACAGTATCGACCTTTAACTGATGGATCTTCGGTTTCCGTAACATTGAAAGATCCACCACAGGAACCAGGCAAAGGAGGTTGCAAGCTCAGCTGATTCAAAGAATAAAAATTTCGGCAAATAAAAAAAGTAAGGCGTCCCCAGAGTGATGGCCCGTAAGGTCGTGGGGGAGTAAGCTGTAAACTGAACTAAAAATGGGTATAAACGAAGGGGCAAAGCTAAAGTCAGAGGCTCTTTGTGTACAGATCCGAAACCAGGATTAACTTCCATGGCAAAAGGTGTTTGCCCCGATCACGTGACATTACTCCAGAGATGGGTCCCCTTTTTCAGTCAAGGGTAAAAGATAACAAACCAATACTTTCACAATACACAACCGTAAAACTAAACACAACCAGGTGAGGGATGTTTTTCAGGTATCCATGAGGTACGGGTTGGGTGCAACATAGGTGTATCCCTGAAAATGGTCGATATCTGCTGCTCCTTTCGGAGTAGAGGCAGGAGAATCCGCAAGTGGCAAACCCGTCCACATCTCGTCAAAATTCGCAGTACATAACTTGCCATTAACCGTCGGCTTGAACTCTGGCTTCAACTGACGATTGTAACACTTCCTCCAACAGATGGTCTTGAACCACTTGTGCTGCTTTATCTCGTCTGCTCCTTTAATACCACTTCCAAGGCGCTTGCTAGGATCCTTTTGTAACAACTGTAAAACAAGATGTAAACCTCAAATTAGGCACACATACCATCATAGAACAATGGCAAAGACAAAACACTCACATAAAATAAGAGATAATTATTGCACAGTTCAAAAAATTCAACACAGGTAAGAGAATGCGACAAGATAGCGATCAAAGAGAAGCCTGTTACCCCTTTCAATAGATTGTTTGCTTCGCTTGTCAAATAAGTCGGCAGCTTGACCTTATCTTTGATTATCTTCTGCTGTAGTTTGTACCTGTTTCCTCCTTTTTCGTGAAGGAAGGGAGGCTGCAGCAAGGTGAATTTATGTTAGCCTACGTCCAATTGTGAGTCATAAACAATTCATCAAGTTCAAGTAGTTTCAGGTCAAACTTACCCGTCCAGTAAGCATCTCGTAAAGTAAGACTCCTACACTCCACCAATCAGCTGCTTTCCCGTGACCTTTCCCCTCTATAATTTCAGGTGACATGTATTCCACGGTGCCGCAAAGCGAATTGGACTTCTTCGAATCATCTATTTCTTTCGCCAACCCAAAATCCGTAAGTTTCACCTGAAGTAAGAAACACCCGCTTCGTAAGATTGGTACCTCACCTCTTTACGTGTCGGAGTCTCATATTAGAAAAAAGGAGTAAACAAAGAGTAAACAAAGATAGACAAGAAGGTGTGGAGAGTACTCACATGTCCTTCCAAGTCAATAAGAATATTCTCGGGTTTGAGATCCCGGTGAATGATCCCTTTCTCGTGTAGATGGGAAACGGCACAGACGATTTCGGCAGCCAAGATCCTCGCAAGTTGCTCACTGAAAGACACCAAACGATAAGTTCATGCTTTGTGATTCAGAGAAGCTTGAGGGCATCACGATGACATTTAACTTGAATGACCAATAAAATATTAAAGCATAATGAGTTGTAAGAGAAGTACATACTTGAAAGTTCCGTGTCTGTAAAGCTGGAAGAACAAATGACCGCCATTGATGAAGTCCAAGAGCAAATAGAGCTTGGACTTGGTCTGCCCATGCACAAACGTTGGGATCACAAGATCAGCTTTGATGATTGAGTATTCTAAAATGAAGACAGAATAATAATACAGGTAACAGATGAGCATACCCAGTACGAGAGTAAGTGAGATCTAGTGAATTGCACACTACAAGTAACTCAATAAAGTGCATTCAAATAGAAAATGAAAGCCACAAAAGTGAGAAGTTTCTGTGGCGACAAATAGATGAATGCGTTGGCAGACGGTATCGGCTATACTCTTATGATGGGGAAAAAGGAAGCGGAAAAGAAGTGGCAAGAATAAGTGAATTAACTGCGATAATGAGTTTCATCTCTATCTTACCAAAAGTAAGAGCGGCATCAATCTAAACGCAAAATTCACCTCACAATTCTTGTAAAAGAACAATTTGATGCATCCTCTATCTGGCTGAATTGTTTCTAAAGTAGGAAACTAGTTCCGCTAACTCCATTTGCTTCACTGCATACGAATCCATGTAGCCTTCGTATAAAAAGGTAAAGAGTTTGGCGCTAATTTACAGTAGTTTATATTGTGTTCTTGACGCTATAATATTTTGAACTACGGGCATAACATCAATACTCAAAACTACATGAATTCGCAGGAGGAAAGTTGAGTCCTAAAACTCATCGAGATATGATATCCTTTAGGTGAACCGACATGCCCTCTGGCTAAAGCTATCAGTTGATTTTAGAACGAGAGAAGAAGAGTAAGTGAGGCTTACCTGGAACGAGTACTGCAGCTGCACGATAAAAGGATGGATAACTTTCACTAGGATGTCCCTTTCCGCTTTCATGTAGTCACAATGGTTTTTCTCCACAATAACATGCTTCTTCATAACCTTCATGGCGTATATTTCTTCCGTTCCTTTCTTCCGTACCTGGTAAACTTTCCCAAAAGCCCCTTTACCCACGACCCTCAGCAATTCAAAATCCTGAGGTCCCAATCTTGGCGCCTGAATCTGTCCCTGTCCCTTACCATCATCTTCCTGCTCCTCTGCACCTCTCTCACTACCGCTATCGCCGGAATCGCTAAGACTCAGTTCTCCCGCTTTGCTGGCAAGCTGGTCAAGATCTTTCGCGGACAGACCATCTTTCTTTGGCCAATAAGAGGAAATGTCCGCCACTTTGTTGGAAGTAACACAATCCACATCGTCGGATGACTGTAAAGAAAACTGAAGGGAGAAGGCAGGAGAGACCAGCGGGCCGACCATAGAGTGGGAGCGATTGGTGATCATCAGCATATTATCCACGGTCTGCACGACTGGACTAGGCCACTTCCCGTCGTCCTCCTCTCCCTCGACTACGGGTACAAGATTTGTTTGTGAAGGAACGGCTCCAAACACATCCGAAAAATCGTACTCCTCCGGATCAATGTAACCATGGCCTGCAGCCTTAAGAGGCTCCAGATAGGGCTTCATCTGGTGAACCATCGCCTTCCCCTTCCTCGGCACCGGGATGTCCATCCCACCTGTAGTCTCTCTCATATCCCCGATTCCTAGACTTCGAGACTTGGCAATTACGCCGCACCCTTGAGGGAGAAACAAGATCCTTTCTCGCAGACGAGAGCAGAGAAGCGTGATCGGAACGAGACAGCTTCGGGAGGTGGCAGATTAGATTGGATATTTGAGCGCTACTCACTAGATTCACAAAGAGCAGGAGGGTGCTGTGAAGGATTGATTCCCCGAGCAAGGAAAGAAAAACACCCAATCTGGTCTACACGACACCGCGGGCTTAAGTAATCGTAAAGAAAGGAGAGAAGCTCGCACGGAGGCGGCGAGCGAAAGCACAAACGTTACATCGCGCTAGATCGATGAAGATCTCTCGAATTCGAGTGCCCCTCCCCGACACTCCTGCTCTGATCGCAGCTCAAATGAAGGTTTTTCTGCCACCTCTCGAGGTCTCCTTCGCCTCGCCGCCCGCCCTCGCCCACCGCTCTCGTGTCCGCACTCCGCTCTCGTATTGCCAATTGCGTAATGAACGAGAGCCAGGCCGCCTCCTCTGAGGAGTCCCCGCCCCTCCTCCTCCCCACGGCCCCGCTCCCCGCCCAGCCGGACGAATGAACGAGGGACGCGCGGGCGCGGAGCGCTCGGCCGGGCGGTCGGCCGGGCGGAGCGGAGAGGAGCGGACCGCAGCGTAAAGATGGACTTTCCCCTGCCCTCGCCTCACCCTCGCGCCGCGTCTCCACACACACACACATACGGTATACGACACACCATCGGATCATCATCCTCCTCTCCCTCGTCGCCGCTGCGGGGGTGGTGGGCCCCAGCCTGCTGCGCCACTCTTCGGCAGTCGCATAGGGTAGACGGTCCAGACGGTCCAGACGATCCCTGAGGGTTCTTGGCTTTGACGTGTGGCAGGACGCGATTGAGTGCGACTCAACACAACTGGGACTAGCATCCATTGACCGCCATCCTGAAGGACTGTTGCCTGGCTGCAATGCATGCATCTCATAATGGGACGTTCTCGGCACAATCGTCCCCTCCATGGATGCATGTTGAGTAAGCATCTAACCATGGTACACAGGGTAATTGTCCTTTTACTTCTGATTAGCCAAAATTTCGCTGGTTATTTACTAATCCAAAGGTTACCCCTTGAAAGGATTCCTAATTGTGTGCGCGGCTCATGATGCTTACCGCCCGATCTTCACGGGCGGCTAATTTTCTTACAATTCATTGTGAATTAGAACAAGTTAACTTTTAGAATATCCGTCAAACAAACCGCACTCAAAACCATATGTGGACTGTAAACCAATTGTGGACTTCGCCAGGTGTAAGTAATGTAATGCCTGGCTTAATTAAGTCTGATGATGGGGTCTTCCCACCCTTTTTGATCTAGTGCTCGGTGGCCCCCACTATGGAGAGGGATCACAAAAGCGTCTGCATCACACGCATCCGTAAGTTCAGGAGGATCTGAAAATTTGGACCTCAAAAGGTCTCGAAATGCAGGGGCCATGCCCTCTCGATGATCGTCTGTGTCCAGTAGTTCAAGACCTGAGGCATCCAGCTGCCACATCAGCCTGGCACCAGTGCTTCTCACGTCTCGTAGACTCAAACCAGAATATGCTTCCCTACGAGCATACGTGGTGTTCCAGATGTCTGGTCGTTTGGAGCCTCTGTCTACATGACGTGCTGACCACGCACATACATCAAGCCTTTATGGTCGTTACTGATATCGAAGTTTAACCGGCTGCTGATTTCATCTCACGCCACGAAACCCTCAAATTATGTATTATAATATTTTCAGCTATATCATTTTCAAACTTGGGCGGCCATATACGGATGGTGATTTGCCAATTATCTTATCTTTCTCTTTAGAATACAGCGTGTAGCGCATTGGTACAGCTCGCGATCCCAAAGAATATTCTACTTCGGCTCCTTTTTCATATGCCTTCCTGGAAAGTCAGGCGGTTGGGACGTCGCCACATGTCATTCTTCCTATATTCGGCGAGTGCAAGTGACCTACAGCAGCGTCCCCCAAATTTAAAGTTCATGGGCGGCTGGTAGGGAACATCCCCGCACATCTACCGACCACGTTACTCCACCGTAGTCTGGTCACTCTAGTGCGACATAGATCAATAGAATGACAACGTAAGTGCCAATGCGGATAATTTAGAATACAACTGTACAGCATCGAAGTCCGTGTTTCCAACTGTTTGCAAATCTGGATCACCTGGTCAATCAAGAATGTATGAGAATGCAAACGGACCAATGACTAAGCACTCAGATACGCGTCAATTTACATGACTCTTTGCTGTACTTCTTGTTGCTCGAGGTATGGTTTGTACGGGTCAACAAAGGCAACGGCAAATGAAAAATAATGTATTGTTCAAGGATCTGAGATCTCTAAAAGCATGAGGCATATATGCGGAATAGCACCCGATGTTACAAGGTAGTCCTTGGCAGAAGAGTTAGAAGATGTCTACCTCAAGTCTGTTCATAAAGAAACACGTGAATAACCTTGATCACACCTCACTAGAATTATTTTCTTCATCTTACTTTAATGTGATTCTTACTCTTTATTAGGTCTTTGAAGGCCTGCCATGTGTCCACGGCTTGTGTTGATAGGAATGGCTCCTGTTCTTATTGAATCGAGTTCCTTGAGGTTTCAGACAGAGTGCATGCATCGCAAATTAGCAACTGAACTCAGTAGGTTCGTCACTAAAAATGGAGGGGAGAGGGAAGCATGCAGACGTGGCTTCAGCTGAAGTATGCAATGTACGTGTCGAGTGACAACATGTCCCATATGTCAAACTTTTGTGACAGATGTGAGAAACTCAGGTCTGTTGCTTTGAATGAATCGGTGGTGGAATAAAAATATACTGAAACCATGAACTCGATGGTTTGTAAATTGAGGAGGGGAAAACAAATAGATTGTTTTCGAATGAAGGCCATAGATTATATTATCCGTTTGAATTTTGACCAAAAAGTTATCATACCCATGACTATTACCTAAACATTGTACTATATCATCAGAACTGATACATCGCGATTTTGATGATGAAACCTTCAAACTTTCAAGTTGAATGAGAGTGCACACCATTGACATCTTTGTGCTGAAAATTACTGGAAGCAACAATGGTGTCGACGAGCTGCTTGAATATGGCCAAGTTGTCATCAAATTTAACAGTAGCAGCAGAGAAGCCTTTGGAGTGCATGGCAAACTTCGTGGTAGAAGGCAACGCAAGGAGCTCATCAGAAATGTGTAAAATGTCTATCTTTGTCCTTGGAGATTCCGGATTGGATCTACTCGCAAGTAGTGCAGAGATCACGTATTTGGAAGTAAAATGAGCCGATATCATGAAAGCTGTTATTTAAGGATCGCCGGGAGAACATTAAAACAACGAAAATTCAAGACAACCGCCAATATAAGTTCATACTTGCAGACATGGTCAACTAAGGACAGTTCGAGTTACAAAGTTACAATCGAATGCAGTTTGTTGATTCAAGCACCTAAACTTTCTTTCGACAAAGTGCCTTAGAGGTGTAATATAATGAGTTCATATTTGAAATCGAAAATGGATGTCATTTATTATCAATTGAATGCCTCGCAGAATTTTGGATGCAAGTAAGATTTAAACGCAACAAATGAACCAGAAACCCCCCACAAAAGATCCAAGGAAAAATATCTTCAATTCCATCGTTTTTCAGACATCCTTCACTCGATATGTGCTGATTTTATGGAAGTCATATGAACATAAATAATGTACGAAATTAATATTTTGTTACTAATCATGAAGCTGTCTTAAAGTGTCTCAACTTGTTGAACTTAGAATGTTGAGTAACAAGAAGTCCAATCATCTATCATTGAACAATCTTGTCATCGTCACTATAATATAGTATCGTCATAAAAAAATGATGCTACGGAAACAAATGCATTAGTTTGTGCAAGTAGAAAAATAGAGTTATCACAATAGTTCCTTATCCTCCAAATAACGAAATTGTATTTTATGCTCGGTGCATTGAAACCAACATAGTTTTTGGAGTCCAAATGTTCTAGTTCCCGAAACGCAATCCAACTTGTAATCTATTACAAAAGGTGAAGAAAATATGTTATTAAACAGTGAGATAACAGGACTACACTCTCACATCTTGTTACAGAAGTCATGAGGACTGAGGAGTTGTCTCATGAAACCTCCTCTTCTTCCGTCTTCAATCATGAATCCTGCCACCGCAATGTTGTGCAATGAGTAGGAAATGGAGAGTCCTGCATCTCGAGATGTTTTTTCCACACGAAAATGCCAAAAATGTGTAGAATATAGCTTTTAAAGCTCTGAACAGAGAAGGTGATTTTTTTGTCGTGTACACCGATAAGAAAGGGAGTTTTCTAGTGTCCCTTCGAGGAACATCCGGTTTTATGGTGTAGTTGGTTATCACGTCAGTCTAACACACTGAAGGTCTCCAGTTCGAGCCTGGATAAAGCCATATAATTTCTGACGTGACGACTTTCGACGACTTTTGACCGTCACTTCCGTTGTCTATCAACCTCTCGTCTATCAAAACTCATACGAGCATAATACTTATCAATGGTAGTGGAGAACTCTTGACCATATTTAGTTTGACTCTATGCGATTCCCGTTCTATGCAATTTTAGCGTGAGATTTTCATTTACTCCCTCTTGATCATTGAGAGGAACTAGAACCTTTTTGCACCATTCTCCTCTTCGCGTTTTTGTTGATTGATACACAGGTATCAATCAACAAAAAAATCTTAGTATCAAATCACTTAAATAATACATGAATTATCAAGAAAAACTTCTTTGATTTTGAACATAAGGTAAACAAGTATCTAATGACAAGAATTGTCACTTTGAGGAGATAATTTCTGCCCATAATTCCATCTTTTTATCAGGAAAGCAGTTTTTTAAAATATGAAAAGTAGATTTCATGGTTTTTTCTTTAGTTTGTTTGATTTCGTTTTGGTGAACACAATGAAAAACTTGAAAATATTTATAACATTCATTTCCTTTTTGTGTATTTCATGTGTTAAGCTTGATGCACTTATCTTTCAAGATGTTTTGTGTCATTATTTAACATTTATTTCTGATGTAAAATCTTCAACATAAAGGCATTATGCATTTAGTATATTTCGACTAAGAATAATTAGAAAAAATCCAAGTTATATAATAAATTCAAAAACTATTATTTTTGTGATTTTTTTACGTTTAAAATTAAAAAATATGAAATGTCATGCCTATTTTATACCACATAAGAAATATTGAATTATTTTTTTCACACCGAAAACATCATTAAAAATTTGTAACCCATTTTATTTTCACAATCTCTTATATTTTGTTTAGATTGTAAATTATAAAAGCAGCAATGTTTTTAGTTATGAAGACTACTTCAACAAAAACAATTAGAGTCACAATCAAGAAGCAAATTCTACTTACTAAGAAATTCTAAAAATTATAATTCACAAAACTAACTGTCAAAGGTTTTCAAAAAAACTGTGGAAGCTAATTCTATTATTATTATTGAATAATAAAAAAAAAATTTTGATTAAAAATACATTGAAAATAATAAAAATATTGATTTTAAAATATTTGAAGTTGACCATGTATGATTTTTTCCAAGTAAAAATATGGATGGTCTAATTATGAC